AGCCGAGAGCAGATAATGGTTACAGAGTCAACACAGAGTACTGGTGTTACTATGGCTACCTGTCAGATTGAGTCTATATCATCATCCCTGCTGATTGATTATGTTTTCTGTCCCCTCTTAATGCGCGGCATCATCAACCAATCATTTCACTTGAATGTCAGTGTGTGTAAAAGGTCACTGCATCTTCTACCCATGGTAGCAGCCCCATCATGGAAGAGTGGCAAACGAGCGTGAATTACTCTCCAGTACCAACTGATCGATCATCCATAATCAAAGCAATTGATAAGGTCAGACAGGCCACCAGAAGAACCCCCGTCGGGCCTAATCTATCTATTCATCTGTTATCTGTGTGTAATGTCATAGCCTCCGGGTGCCCACCGGAGACAACGGATACCAGACGATCCTCACAGCCTGACAGCTCAGGGCAACGCGGGTCAATCCAATCTCCCACTGAGCGCGGGTGCGTGCGCACACATGTCCAATTCACAGAAACACTACAGATGACGGAAGTGTCACGGCTTCAGGGCCAAATCACATCAGCGCATCCTCGCTTTTCACTCGGGCCTTCATTCCACTCGCTTTTTCATCTTTCCTAAACCGTCCCTCTCCATGACAGGGAATAAAAATCGAGCCTTCGGACCAGACTCGTCGCTTGCTATTAACCGCACATTCGCGTGTGAGGAATGTAATGGGAGTTAAATAGAGTTTTGTGTGTGTGAGATTTTTTTAAAGGGGGGATTTTTTTTGTACGTGATATCATTAACTCTTTTTAGCCTAAATCTATCCCACACCACCACAACAGTGCATATATCAGTCACAGCCCCAAAATGACACTGCATTTCTTTATCCTGACATCCCACTTGAACATCTGTCCCATAGGGGGAGCGATATGACACTGTTTTATTTAACAAAAAGGCACAAAGAGTGGTTGTCTAGTGTCTGTATATTGTTCTGACATACATTATGAGATGAGCTTCTCAGTAATCCAGAATCTTCCAGCCCCAGTCCATAATATTTCAATTCCATTTATAGCTTCCATATAGCAAATACGCCTGGCATAACTACTATATAGTTGTAATAAAGAAGAATAAAACTATGATATATATTATTTTTATTAATTAATATGTTTATTCAGTAAGGATGCATTAAATTGATCAAAAGTTACAGTAAAGACATGTTTAATGTTAAAAAAATAAAGAAAAAGTTTATATTTCCAATAAATGCTGAACTTTCTATTAATCTAAGAATGCTGAAAAATGTATCTGGGTTTCCACAAAAATATTATGCAGCACAGCTGTTTTAAACATTGACAATATTAGGAAGTAACATGTACATTGTTTATGAGAATAGAGTTACTATCTAAAATTGGATTTTAATGTAGTTTTGATGCACTGATGGTTTTAGCCCCAACCCACATCTGGTTCTATCAGAATATGGATATAAAAAAAAACAGGTAATTTTGCAATTGTAATGGATAGATATACAGATAATGGCTACAAAAAAAAAAAATCAAAATCATGCTTTCAAGAGCTCTGCAGAGGAATTTGTTATTGGTAAAACCTCTACTATAATGACACAATATTACTGGTTTGTTTGTTTTTACTATTAGTAGTAATCCATACTAAATTTACTTTTAAGATGAGGCAAGCAGTATTCTGCTGGTCATGCGATTTCAGCTTGGCGACCTCCATTAGGTGACCTGCTCCATATAAAATAAATCAGCTTTAATTAAGGTACTAATATGACTGGAGTCATAAACATTTTAAACATTTTTTAAAAGTGAAAATGAATGGACTAAATAACGCTGCCAGTCTTTCTAACATATGGGGTTGGAATGACATGAAGGAGAGTAAATGAGCAAATTTTTATTTTTATGTGTGCTATCCCTTTAAGACTGAATCATTGAGGAAAAATAGTGACAGAGTGCACCTTTAAGCTCACATCTGTGTTAAGCCATGATTGTGTCTCAGGACAAGTGGAACAGACCATTACACAGTAACATAAGGCTATTATCATGATACATTCAGCTAGTGTTGTGGGAAGAGAGACAAACTAAGAGAGGAAAGAGGCAGCTGGTCCTCACTCCAGGTTGCAACTCCGAGCAATTAGAGCAGGCAGATGGCTAAATGGCCGAGAAGAAAAAAAAAACCCTCCAACTCCAAACGACAGTGACAAGTGTGCCAGGAGCAGTGAGATTCTGACCCTGTCAACTGAAAGAGAAAGAGAGGGAAAGAGAGGAAAAGGACAGAATCTAGGGCACAGCTACTTCTGGAGGGAAACGTCTGTTGTTACATTAACAGGCACATTTCTATCAGGGTCACCTGCTAATGCGCACACACACACACGCGCACACACACACCAAGAGGAATTCTACCTGCTGAACACCTTTATTATGACACCAACTCTTTCGGTTTCACTCCCCCTCCTTTGCAAAGTGTGCTCCTGGTTATATTTTAACCTGTTGAGATATGAGATCTGTTGCCTTTGTGTAAATAAAGAGGCTTTACTGAGTTCCTATAGGGCTGAGCTATGCTGAGACTGTCAACTTTATAACCTAAAGGAAAGAAACTGAAATACAAACTCAACCACATTCCTGTGCTTTTTATAGTGCGTGTGGTTTATTTCTGACTTAAATAAAAACTTCTTTTTTTTGTTACATAGTTGCAGCGGTACATCTGAAAGTTTGGCCCAACAACCAATAATCTAAAACTATGAGGAAATAATGACAAAAAATACTGAAGAAAATGTTTCATAAAGGTGTTTTTGAATTTTTTGTATTGATTTCATCAATAGAGATGAAACTAAGAATGAGCATAATTACCATGACTAATTAAAACAAACTACTGATGAAAATATGACTTGGAAAAAAAAAACAACACCGCATATTAATAATGCAAAAAAAAAAAATGTAAAGAAGAAAAAAAAACTAAAAACACAGGTAAACTATGGAATTCCTTTCCACAATAAAATAAAATACATACATAAATACAATCACAAGATATAAACTCAGAAATGCAAGAAATATAGTTTTTCATAACACACAACTCTTGCATTTTTGAGTTTACATCTTGCAATTCTGACTTTTTTCTTACTATTCCAAGTAATATACTTCTATATATTCTTATCATAATAAACAGAACATTATTGTTTGTTGGTATGAATGCTTACATAGTTATTGTTATCATACTTGGTGTGACTGTGAATATGCTTTCTGTAACAATGTAACATGGACAATGAATGCAACAAAGCATTCACTACATTGTATTTATTTTTTTTTTGCCGTCTCATCAACAAAAATACTAATTAGCTGCCTATGAGTAAAACTGCATAAAATGCAAATGTCATGACATGCTTTAGCCAGAATACCTACATATTTTGCTTTTGAAAAGGGTGAAGTCAAAAATGGAGCTTTATGTGGACGCTTTATGTGTCGCTCTCTTGCGCAGCCCATTTAGCTCTATTTCAGCCGCTGGTGATATCCGTGACAGGTGACTTATCAACACACATACACACACACACACACACACACACACACACACATACACACACACACACACACACACACAAACTCAATTGTCAGTAATGTTAACAACATAAAGCATTCACAACATTGTATTGGTTTAATTTTGCTCTCTCATCAACAAAATACTATGGTTGACTATCTTAAGTTTATCTGCCTAAATGAAACTGGATAAAAACGGAAACGTCAAGACTATGCCATAACCAGAATAACTAAAGTAGTTAAAAATAGAGCTTTATGTGGACGCTTTATGTGTCGCTCTCTTGCACGGCCCATTTAGTTCTATTTCAGCCGGCGGTGTTATCTGTGACAGGTGACTTATCAACAAACACACAGCTAACTGAACATTCACAGCCTAGCCTGAAAAACACTGCAGGAAAAACAAACAAGGGATTTGATTGAGCCCCAGAGCAATCAGCACAAACCAAGAACACTGTCAAATATCTGTAAGACTTTAATAAGCAACCAAATAAAAAAATACAATATTACAAAGACTGAAAACATTCAGACAACCGAAATAAAACCTAAAAGCAATGCAAGGCGATAAAGCATTTAGTAGCATAGATGTGTTTCCTGTGTCCATGAGAGCTTGAGAGCGCTGCTCAACACTATACAGCACAAACACGTTACAAGCATCAATAAATCACTCCGAATAAAAACAATTAAAGCACAGATCATTAAAAAAAAAAAAGAAAAAAAGAAAAATCAAATGATATAAAATTCAACATTTTACAATATGGTTCGATATGCTTACACGAGTTAATGCATTAAGTAATAAAATAATGAACATTTTTACAGCATTTTATTAATCTAAGTTAATGTTCATTTCTGCATAATGTGTTTTTAACATTTCAAGTTGTATAAATTAACAATGCATCATGAATTAAACATTAGTAGCCTGTATTCATAAAGAAACATTAGATTAATAAATGCAGTAAATATTATTCACGATACCTAATGCATTAAAATTCCACCAAATTGAACCTTATTATAAAGCATTACCAACTCAAATAAAACAATGTATCCTTCATGCTCACAGAAGTGAAGTACAATACACAAGGATGTGACATCACCGTTTAGCCTTATGTATATCATGTTTATATATTTATACTATATTCACAGGAGGGATGGTTTGTGTTGGGTGACATTAAGGCTTTTGAATGTGTGTGCGTATGTTTACCAGGACTGTGGAACATCTAAACCAGACAACAAGGGACGACGACATTGAGGAGACCGTAACATCCCATATTCACAACTCCATCCTCTCTGGAAATCTACTTAAACGGTCTCCCATCGCAGAGGATACTTCCTTAATATTCTCAAGGCATCCGTTCCTTCATTACGGAATTCCTGGAGGAGACGTTGAGCTGGAAGGTCAGTGCGTTCTCCTCTAATGAGGAGCTAAAGCGTTCTGCCTCTCAGAGCACGAGTGACGAAATCACTTCTTCTACTCATTCACTGATTGCAGTCTGACCTTTCAATCAGGATGTAAACTGGGTAGCGTCGAAGCCACGGCCTAATCTGTGCTAGACGGATCAGAGCGCATCAGGCCGGCCCGTGCCAGACTGACCACCCTTTCAGAGGTGAGAACAACTTCTTTCAGCGGCACTGATTCAGACGTGGCACAAATAGGATCACTGAATCAATACGGAATCCCATGGAAACAACACTATGGTACCCACTATGCCCTCTGATGCTCGGGAACAGAGAGGGACACTTATAGACTCAAGGGCAGCTGGTTTGACAGATGATTTAGAGGGAGAAAGAATATGTGTGTGTGTGATGTCCAGTTTAAATCACACTGTGTATGTGTGCGAGACCCTGAGAGACTGGAGGAATAACTCACTGCGCTCGAGTCAGACACCACTTAACACGCTGACTCACTCTCTCACACACACACACACACACACACACACACACACTTCAACTACACCCGATAGAAAGCTTCCCCATGTGAATGTGTTTAAACTCAGTACAGGTGAAACTAGTACTGTCAATATTAGATTACAGATGTAAATATGTGATATGTGCTCTCATACAGTACTGTACGCATAGAGCCGTGGTTGACATGCGTAACATTCGACCTGGATATTCACCTCGCCCCGTCTCCGTATTTACATTTAGAAGGTTTTTTCATTTTTAAGAAAAATAAAATGTGTACATACAGTAGTTTACAATCACCTCACATCGAACAATCTTTCACTCATTCATGAGCTTCTTCATTTTATTTCCCATTAAACAAGTCAGTGTATCTCAGCGGCTGAGGAAATAACAGTATGTGATGCGAATCGCGGCATCTGAGGAGAGGTATATTAAGCTGTGTGGCCATGGTAACTCTGGACATGGGTTATAGTTATAAATATAGAATTGCTGTTAACACTTTACAGTTTTTATTCATTAGCAAGAGTTAATGCATTAGGTATCATCATCTACTGACTTTTAACAGTGTGTCCCACAGCATTTATTAATTTTGGTTAATGCCAATTTTGATATTTTTAGCATTTCAAGTTAATAAATCAACATTAGTGAGTGTATTATGAACAAACATTAATAATGAACAACAGTATATTTATAAATTAACATGAACTTAGATTAATAAATGCTGTACAAGTATTGTTGGTTCATGATAACTAAAACCATATTAACAAACTGAACAATATTGTAAAGTGTTAAACATGTGGCACACCATTCCTTCGCAAGTTTAACTGTGACATATTACAATAAATTTAGTTGAATACTTCCTTTCCGTCAGGGTTTAAAGTTCACTGTGAATAAGGATGTGACCCTGACTCACTGTTTTTATTACTACAGCGGTCTGCTACATTGTTTTATGACTGAATGCATAAGGAAACTGTACAGGGAAAACGGTAAAAAGCCTGGATTGTGGATTGTGGGTGAGAACGAACACACCATTCATTAACGTTTGATTTGATTAGCCCCGAAAAACCAAATGATTCACTTGTGAGTCATGTCACGGGATTGAGATATTGAGTGCTGTATAATGAGTGAACTGTGCATGTCATCTTGAGACAGATGAGCGTGTGAGGATGAATTTACAGGAAGGAAGACCACGGAGGCGTGGCTAGTCAAATATTAGACATGAGTGTCTATAGTGTATAACAGATCAAAAGCACTGGGCACATTTGACTATTCTTCAAAATCTACACAATACCTAAGGACAGCTTCCATAGAAGATAGAGAAATGTAGGGCCAAGGAATGTGCTCCAGCCAAACTCAACTCACACTGAGTGAATCAAGTTTGAAACTGGTTTAAGTGTGAATCTATGATCAATAAAAAATAAGAACAAGTTAAAACTATTACATAACAGCACAGTGGATTTACTTACATACAGTAACTTAATGTGTGTGCATGTCATATATATCGCACAGTGTCAACATCTGTAGTTTCGTATTACTCAGAATATGTCACCATGACAACCAGAGCAATAATTAGGAATGGAAGCCTGACAGTTTCGTATTTAGTAGTCTCTATTTACTTCACCCGATCCTCCAATGTTTTAATCTGTGCTATATCCAGCATATTAATTCATCTATTCATTAACTCAATCCATCCATTAATCCTTCTCTCATGGTATTTGATGGCGTAATTTGTTTTTACAATAAAATGAATATTCGTTAAGAGGAAGAAATTCAATCCTTCTGGAAGAGGTCCACGTACACCCTCCTAGAACCTCTTTCTGCTCTCCTTCTACACGTAGACTGCAGTCCGAGAAATCACGGAGCCGTCCCTCTGGGACTCCATGTCATCTAGGTCATCGTCATGTGGGCGGAGCTGTAGGATGGGTCCACCCCCACCAAAATGATCGTATCGCTCGTCCTCTTCTTCCAGTTCATCGAATTTCTTCCTTTCTACCTCGTCCATCTCTCTACTAAGCAGGATATCCTCCGCTGTGTGAGTGTGCGTGGTCTCGAGCAGAGCCACGCCCCCTGGGTGCATGCCCTGACTGGCCGTTTTCTCATTAAGCCCCACCTCTCCCCTGTAAATGGGCGTGTTGTTGTTTCCGTTGTTTCCGGTGCCATTTTTGCTTGATTTGGCAGATCCAAAGAGGCGGGTAAAGGAGTCGTAGGGAGCACCGGTTGGCTTGCCGGTGCCACGGTAACCATGCTGTTGGCGGCGATTATGGAATACCAGGAAGTAGACGAGGACACCTAAGAGTGCGATGGCCAGAATACACGCGAGGATCACGCCTGCGATCACACCCACGTTTGATGGGGGAGGTGGTTGTTCTAGAGACAGCAAGATTAAAAAAAAAGAGAGAAAAGGAAGAAGAACAGAATTAGACCAAATTAGATTCATGGAAAGGAAATGGAAGTCAAATGTTTAAAGACCCAATGAAATCAAAACTGAGAATTGTGGCTTATAGTCCACGTGTATTATATTTGAAGCCACCTGTAGCTATGTTAGCAGACTAAAATATTGATTACTCCTCCTGTACTAAACAGACTCTTGTCCAATCAAATGCTCTCTAGAATAAAAATGTCCTGTTCCTAAAATTATTAATACTGCCTGCAACTGACTTGCAAGTACCAAATCATGGTTTATGACTGTGATACCAGTCCTTCGATATGTCCCATGATGGTGTAAATTTTAATTAATTTAAGGGACTTGAATCTTTTAAGTCAATAAATAATTTACTGAACCAATTCATAAACAGACATCAAAAAATCTTATTACCCTTTGTTAGAAAATTTGTGTATACATATATTACAAATTAATAATTCTCACAACCCTTTGCCTCTACTTGTTGTGAAAGAGACTCACATGCCAAACTGAACAAACTACATGCCTGTCTCATTCAGTTGGTCAGTAAATCCTTGTTCACAAAAAGATGCCTTAGTTCATTCAGTTCGTTCATATGATGACTTGTTAAATGAGTCCCCCAAAGTCTTTTTAAGACCCAAAACAGCATATCTGTTCAGTAACGTAAATGATTCATTAAAAAACACTGAATCATTCATGCAATAAATACGCGGTTTCAACAGGAAAAAGTGATTTCATGGGATCTTTACGAGATGGGAAAAAATATTTCTAGTTCCTCACACAGTCTGTGTATAAATGCAAATGTGTGAGTGTGTGTACGTGTATGTTAAATCACGTGAATGTATGTGGGATGGTGACATTTGTGCAATTCCTTAAGGGGGAACAGCTTTCCATAAGGCCAGTTTGCAGCATTCACACTTACAACTGCACAATAAAGATGGAAACACGGCACTAGCATGCAGCCTCACATAAAAAAGAAAATAGAGGATGATGGACAAGAAGATGGATGGCTGGTTGATGGATGGATGGATGGATAGACGGATGGATGAGAGGAAGGAAGGCTGGGATTGACAGGGGGAGACAGCAGACAGACACATCGGCCTTGAAGCCACAAACACACAACAGCGCACAGCTTCTTTCTCAGTGCAGCAAATGCATGTACAAGCTTAAATGAGTGTGCGAAGACGTGACTAACACTGCTGAAAGAGAGCAGTGCATGTGTTAACACCCAAAATAAACAACATCATCATCACGAACTCTTACATTTCTCATTGATTTTTCTTGTGCATCTTGCACAGAAACACCTAACAGCAGAAACAACAGGAACACAATCACGTCTGACTGCCTCAGTCGCCGTGTTCCTGTTAGCCACCCACTGTGGCGTACTCCTCGCTCCCACACATACACCTCTCCCTCCCACTGTTTCAGTCAGAGTGAGCGTGTTATTCTGATCTCTCACTGCCTGCCCGAGTCCTCTGAATTATACATGACAGTCTGATCATATAGCGGCCACACACACACCCACGGATCTACATGGCTTCATTATCGGAAGATTTCACACTTACAAACAGTCGCAGAGGAGTTCTTGCCCATGCCGAAGCCCTGTCACAATGCCAGGGTGTTGGCACTGTAGCGAATCAGCTCATAAGGGAAATATGAATAATTAATCATAACTAGTTATAATTAATTATAAATATTTAGATCGGTAACCAGTGGCCTGTGGTCATTCGCAGACATCCTGGCGCCCAGTCTATTGGGTGAGGGGTCTGTGACAACTTGTTAATCTAATGAATAACTGATTTGTTAAATCAAATGAAAAATTGTGTTTTTTATTGGTCCAGACGCTACAGCACACAACTGAAATGGCGCTCTGAGTGGTTTTCAGCACGCTGCTATGAACTTGCTATGGTGTTCAGAGTGGATTCAAGAGAAGACAAAGACCAAGAAGTGCCAAATTTCTCATAAGCAATATTTCAAATAAAAAATTGGTAATACATATCAAGTCAAGTCAAGTCTGCTTTATTGTCAATTCTTCCACATGTACAGCACATACACACAGAG